GTAGGCATGGTTCACTCACTGTGGGGCCCTACTGCCCAACCCTACACATGTAGGCATGGTTCACTCACTGTGGGGCCCTACTGCCCAACCCTACACATGTAGGCATGGTTCACTCACTGTGGGGCCCTACTGCCCAACCTACACATGTAGTCATGGTTCGGATAACAATTATAAAATGTTATTCAGTAAATACAAGACTGTCAAATGAAAAACTGTTGTTTATCCAACCGAAAATCTTCCTTTTCCTAAACAGACTTAGTTTCCTGTAAGTATGCGACTTAGTTTCCTGTAAGTATGGTGACTTAGTTTCCTGTAAGTATGTGACTTAGTTTCCTGTAAGTATGTGACTTAGTTTCCTGTAAGTATGTGACTTAGTTTTCTGTAAGTATATGATGAGAGAACATTTATCATAAAAATTAATGTAAAGATTTAGAGACATTTCAGATTTATCCATATACATCCCTACTTACTAAGAGATTGATGACCATGAAGATTGTCCCATGTATGTGGTAGTTCCAACAGCCTAAGCAGCATGGACTCATCATACTCCGTAACAGAATAAGTTCTATCTTTAGTTTCTGCTACAGGGGGCAGCATCCGAGCCAAATCACAGGCATGTGAACTGGGCAGATTAAGGCTTTGTATTCTCCAGCTGTGACACTGCTGTCTTGTAAGACTGGATCCACTGTCTGCTGTCACATTGTGCTCAACATCATATTCTCCTGACCTAATTTATACAATGAAATCTTGAATTGTCTGACATTTGAAGCCTAACACATGTAAGAATATGTTAATAACTCTGTAATTTGTTTACACATACATACATATATACACACACACACACACACAGACACACACGTGTGTGTGTGTTAAATAATTCCTTACAATATCAAGTCTGTGAATGATCTGTAACAAAGAATGGAGGCTTTCCAAAGCCCCAAAATATATTATTTGTTCCATATATTTGATTAGGGTTTAAGTGAAGGAGAAAATGAAGATGCAGAACTTCCTACTCTGAATGGATGTGTGGATACTACTTTAGATGATAATAGCAATGATGAAAATGATGTAGATGAAGAAACAATGTAAGCAAGTGATTGTGTCAGTGTAATTATCAAGTATTTTTTTACACAGATCATTCACAGACTTGATATTGTAAGGAATTATTTAACCAGTCTCTTCACCATTTTAGTGTGGGATTCTAGCACATGTGAGTGAAGGTAAAGTATCGTATCAGAAGTTAAAATTTTCCAACACTGAAAATGTATTTCTGACAGCTACCTATGTTCATGCTTCCCACCCCTCATTCCCACTTCCAGTGCATCATTTCTTGCCTAATCTCAAATTGCACAATCAGTATAGAGGGAGTCAGCTGTGCTAGGAAGGTGTATCGCACTCCTATTGGTGGAGGGTTGTCGCATGCTCATTTGCATGCTACAATAAAGCAATACCATGTGTAAACATGCAAGTTTAGGTGGTGAGCGAAAATTGTGCATATAGGGGGCAGCACAAAATCAAAGAAAGCTCGTATGTGAGAGGAAGTAAGTATCTGTCAGTAATACATTTTCAGTGTTGGAAAATGTTAGCATTTTATACCTTACGATGACGTGAACTGGACCATTACTGACAAATGTGATTAAGTCTTATCTTTTAGATATAAAAATAATTCATAATCAAAATCGGGAAAATTTTATTTCCTCTAATTTTTCATTAAAAAAAATAAAACTGGTGATTACTGCTATTTGTTGTGGAGTTCGTTACATATTGTGTGATTCTGATAGGTGACATGCAGTTCTAAATTATCTGATTTTCAGTTTATAAATAATTATTTCGGTTTGACCATAAATATTTTGTTGGTAAGGAGGAACGTGATATTTTCACAGTACTGATATTTTCACAGTACTTCTACAGTGTACCATCTTGGTTGTGGGCAGCCTCATTATTAAATTGAGAATTCCTTGGAACCAGTCACAGTTGGTATTGAGAGTAAAACATTCTGTAGGCATGTTAGCATAGCCCAGCTTTAGTTTGAATCAAGTTGTACTATATAATACATGTCTCAAAGATCAAAATTGGCTGATTATGCATTCTGAAAATCATTGATATAGGCTAAGCTATTTTCTTTATAGAGCTAGTAGTTAAAACTCAATCAAACTTATTTAACTTGGATTTAAAAAAGAATAATCGTAATTTTGGTGTATTAATCAAGAGCAAACCACTGTCGAAATGACCGAATCACCTATTTTCAGCCAAAAATAACTAGCATACACAAGTTGCATCATTAGTAGTCATTCAACAAATGTCTCCCTGACAGCTCAATGGTAAAAATGAAGCCTTATCACACTAAGAATTTGGTTTTTGATATCCATGGTGAGCACAGCACAGATAACCAGTTTCTGGTTATGAACAAACAATTCTTCAAACATCTTTCAAGTTTTTATGTGATCTTTCAGATCAAAATTTTGAAAGAATTTTGTTTGTATTAACAATGTTTTAGACTCCATGTCCTTACCCTTCTTCTCTTTCAACTTATTATCTCTTGTTCATTGTACCATCTTTCACTTAAGTCCTCTTTCTTCCTTTTTATCTGTGGTCATTGGAGACCTGACATGTATGCCATTGATGTTTCTTTTATTTTTTTTCCCATCATTCTTATATTCTTTATCGTGCTTGTGATTTTCTCCCTAAAACACTTGTGGCTCATGAAGGGAAAGGTGTATTCACTCCTACTTCCATTCCTTTCATTTCTCAATTTTTTTCTCATTCTTATCTGGATAATTTTCTTTGTCCCATCCATACAGTTCATTTTTATGGTTTATTATTTAGTATATTTCATGGTTTATGCTTCTGTCTGTTTATTCTTTAGAATTCCTCATCTCCCCAAGATATTCCTCCCATTACCTTCACAGGATGGTTATAGCAGCTCATCCATCTTGCCTATGCTTCATTGGATGTAGATTCATGTTGATTCTTTCAGGTCTCCTCTCCCCAAATCTTACACCTTATTCTCTTTCTCTCTCTGGCTGATCACTTCTGTCATTCATTAGAGGAGATCATGTGGACTGTCTCTCATACTTTCATCACACATTATCTTCATCATCTGGCCCTCTTCTTAAATCTACACCATTCAAGTCTCCTACACTTACTCATGAGGTTTCCTTGCAGTATGTTATTTATTAAACATGACCTGATTCAGACTGTACCTACTTATGGACTATCATGAGTAAAGCAGTGTTGGAATAGCTGTTCTAGTTGAATAAACCTGGACTAGCCTGCTTTTAAAAATAGGGTTTCCTGTTTACCTATTGCACAGTTATAAGGTGTTGTGTTCCTCCAGGCTCCCAAAGTGCTTTTACCCCCTTCTTCTGGTAGAGTACAGGAGTCTTTGCCCACTCACCAGTTCCTAGCTGCCAAGATGGTAGATCACGGAGGCTTTTTCCACTAAGTAGAAAGTAGAGCAGTGGTGATCTGTTGGTGTAGATGGTATGAGCTCTTCTCCCACCAGAGAACAGATGAACAATTCCAGAAACTGCTAGTTTTGGATCTACCAAATACAGTTCACCCCTATGGTTGGCTTTCCTACATCTTACCACTGTCTGGATGTTGGTTCCCGGGTGATCTAGTGTTAGATCGGTTCTGGACCAGCCAACATAAGTCCTCACTCAAGTGGTTGGTTGGGACCCTCCTCTTACTTCAGCCTGGAAGAAAAATTACTTCTGCTGCCTGGTTTTGTCCTAGAGTTGACCCACCTTGTTTGCTTTCCTCCTTCATACCTTTGCCTAGATGTTGGGTTCCCAGGTGGCCTGATGTTGGATGTGTTCAAGGTTTGCATACATGAGCACTACTTAGGATGGCAGCAAGGAAGTTCCTTTTCTCTTTTGCTTCCTGGTATGGAGGTGAAGATGGTTGGGATACTCCTCCTATCATGGAACAGATAAAAAATACCTGATGCTTCCTGGTTTTAAACTGGAGTTGACTCTCCACATATGGTCTAATGTACCACAGCATGTACATTTTCCATACTGTGTTTCCGAACATGCTTCTTTTTCTCTCGAATTGGTGACGCACATCTATGCGTGAAGAGTACATCTTGGGACAGAAGGGGTGTGGACTCTCAGGTGTGCCCCTATACTTTCATGGTATAGGGTGTCACACTTCATGGGTTCTCTTCGGATGCTTTCCAAAGGGGGCTTATCTAGGTAACTTTCACAAAACTACATTTAGGTCCCAATCAGGAAGGACTGCAGGACAAAGGTGCAAAAATAACAAAAGAGCATAGAAATAACAGGAGAGGAGAAGACATAATGATAATGGGAAAATTCAAAAGTATTAGGTAAAGCTGTACTGTAGTCAGCAATGGTTGAAAGCAATAAGCCTTGACCAAACACCAATGTAAAAATATCGAAAGATGGGGGATAGAAAGACACGATAGGGAGAAAGTACAATGCAGATATCAACTACAGAATGTATGCCATTTTTGTATTTATACAAAGAGAGAGGAAGAACGAGAAAGAAGGAAGATTACATGTGAAGAGAGTCTGAAACGTCTCGCAAGGGACCAGACAAAACCCACTGCTGGATGGGAGAGAGAGAGAAGCAAGTCTGAAGGAGTAGGGAGAGTAACAGAGGTAGGAGAAGGTTTAATAGAGAAGACCATGGCTGAGCTGGTCAGTACAGAGCTAGCAGAAGAACTCAAGAATGAGGGAAGCACACGAGGGAGAAGACAAATAGAAGAGTACACAGAGAAAAAAGTTTGGACCAGTCATGACTCAATGCATCTATAGTTAGAAATGAGGGATAGGAACCTGGAACCAGAAAAGGGGAAGTTTGGTGTTGAGACAAGTGTAAAAAGCATACAGAAGAGGAGTGTTCAAACAAGAGCCACTGGAACACAAGAGGTTCAAGGACCACTCCATAGGTAGTATTTTGTTGGGACTCAAAATACAATCTGCGACAAGATTCAGGGTACCTGAAATATGACAAACTATTAGACCTATAGGTAAAGAATAGGCCCAGAAAACGATGTCAAGAGTGTGGAAACAGAAAGAGTGAGATCAGGTGTTCTACTGGTGATTGATATAGGAGACAACAGCACAGTTGGCTGTATGGATGATCACAAGACTTCCACAAACCATTACAAGGAAATGGTGCAAAGCTCAACATATTACCAAAAGTTCTAACAGAGTGTTATGAAGGGATGATTCATTGTGAGACCACCAACACAAAGTCACGTGAGAGTTAAGACATTCCCCCCATCCCATCAAGGAGGCATCTAGAAACATATGGAGATCCATGTGCGAGCAACAAAGTGGTACACCCTCTATGTTATTGGGTGTATCAAGTCATCACGTGAAGTCTGAGTAAGGAAAATGGTGGAGGACAAAGGATCCCAAGAAAGGAACCAGTGATTGTGTAAAGTCCATTGTAGCCATCACAAATGAGCATGACCCAAGGGGATAAGGGGTTCCATGGAAGCCATAGTCCCCAAAAGAGAGAGAACCTCCTGCACCCTGAGAGAAGGAGAGGATCGACATGGAAAACTAATTGCTCTATGCCTTTCAAAAGAAAAACAGAAGGCTGGGCCCTGTGGAGATGCAAACTGAAAAACACTTGAATGAGAAACTAAATAGGTGTGAGATGAGACTTCCATTTGACCAACTGACCCAAATTTGCTTCCTCTCAAAGGAGAAGAAGATGGCTGTAGGAGGCTTTATGGGATGAAGTCAAATGAGAAAATAAACATCCAAAAAAGTCCAAAGTCCAAGACCTGGAGTAAAAGACCACCATAGGGTGAGAAAAGTCCCCATGGTAAATTGAGGGAGGTCATGAAACTGACTAAGATATAAGAAATGACTAAGACCAGATTCGTATCTATGGATCCTTGGGGAATCATGAAAAGATGGGAATAAAATCCTAGAAAAGGATGAGAAACCCATCCAATAGTCTTTAGCCATTAGGTACAACACTACCATGGATGCTGGCAAAAAACAAGATCCCATGGAGGAGGGAAAGTAACAGGAACAAGGAAAAATGGAGGAGGAGAGGATAAAAATGAAGGGTAACGCTCTCCGACAGAACACTCAGTACTCAATAGTCAGCTACAATTGGAGGGCAAAGGTCTGTAAATCAAAGAAAACAGGCTCTACCTACCCTGAGCCAATTGAATAATCACTGCCTAGCGTGACAGCACTGAAGTCTACAAGCAGTGGGAAGACTGATGGGAATAGAGGAATGGGAAGTGGTGACAGGGAGCAAGAGGACATGATACAGAGAGTGCAAAATCAAGAAGTGATGATTGAACAATCAGTATAGAGGGAGTCAGCTGCACTAGGAGGGTGTGTTGCACTCCTTTTTGTGGTGGGTTGTTGCATGCTAGAACAGCATAGTCCTTTAATGACTTGAAATTCCAATATGATACCTTATCACTTCTCACATATAAGCTTTCCACAATTTTGTGCTGCCTTATATATGTGCAATTTTTCATTCATCACTAGCTTTGAGGCTCCCACTTAAACTTGTGTGTTTTCATGTGGTATTACTGTGCTGTAGCATGCAAATGCGAAATGTTACAGGGAACAAACTATTACCATTACAGAACTTTTACAGAAAGGAATTTACATACAGGAATTAAAATCTGATTATTGCTTTTTCATATCAGTATGATTTCTAAAATTAGTCCTGTTCATAGATGATATGTACACTGCTTCTAGTCCTACTTTTATGAGATAAACGTGCAAGTCTGGATTTATCATCCAAGCTTTAAGCTTAATCTTTGAAGGCACTGACAAATGATTGCTAATTCTTATTTTTTTCACATTAGCAAATTCGGGAATGCTACCAGCAACAATAATATTTATCCATGTAAAATTGAATGTAACTTCGTCATAATGTTAACAAGTACACACATATCCTATTTAGATATATAAATCTTCTTGTCATGTTTTCTATTCAAATACCAACACTAAGTTTAATTGTGATTAAGTTTATATTTTAATTGTCTCATAAAAATTAAAAGATGCTCAAAGTGGATGGAATTTGGTTATCTATTCTAGAAAACTTGGATTGACGAAGTCTACGGTATCCCATTTCTCACATCCACCCCATATTAAAAAAAAGTATTTTAATATTAAATGTTTAGGTTGGAATGCTGAAAGCTAGTGAATAATTAGAAGTCAATAGGCCTAACATTTGTGTTAATCTTGGACAAATTAGTAGGAAGGTGGGGAAAAACATTGCAGTTTGAGATTTCTATTTTATTATCACACCCAATGAGCAACCACTTAGTTACAGTATTTCTCACCATGCTGCTAGCCAATGAAGAAGCCATATGGTGTAAGTCTAGCTGGTTGGCCCACAAGCTATTTCTCTTGGCAACCAATCAAACAAATTGAAGTGGCAGTCCTGTTATCCCCATTTCCCGATATTTAGTCTGGGTATGCAATGCAACACAAATGAGACTGCAGTACCATAACGACATCAGCAAGCAAAACAATATTTCTAATCACAATTATAGTGACCTTTATGTACTTGGAATCTTCCAATATAAATGACTGAAATGCATATATCATGGGTGTATTTATACACAAGAGTAAGAAATTTTGAATCTTCCATCTGAATTACGTACTAATAACTTTCTTCTAGGACTTTCTATGATTTATTGGCAAAATTCTAACACTATTCAGCAATTTGACCATCTGTTAACTTGAATCTAGCCCTGTCATCATATTAAAGTACTGAAATGTAATGTTCATTGAAAGTACATGTTGACCCCAGAAGGTGGCACTGTTTTTAGCCTGATGGTAAATATCATTATTTTATACAAACAAAGAAAAAGTGTATAAAACTTAATTATAAGTTACACATATTTCACAAGAGATTGTACCTCACTATCATCAGAACTTGTGGAATCAAAATTGTATGAAGCTACAGAGGAATCCACAAGATCCTTGAAGGATGGACTGGCTACTCTCTCTGGTACACAAGGTCTAGCATCATCAGGACAATCAGTATTCTGTTGTTGAGAAGTGATTTGTTCGCTAAAGCATGATATCTGTTGTTTTTCTGGAGCTTGTGGGCTAGATTGCTCACTTAATCCTAAAAATACAAACTAAGCATTTAATCTTTAAAACCAGATTTTCTAAAAGTAAAGGATAAACATCAAATATTCAAATAAAGCTTATCAGACAAGATCTTCAGATAGGACAAGATAGAGTAACATTTAAAATGATCACTGCTCTGATCCAGGATGATCCTGAGACCAGTCGCCAGCTCAAAATCTCACATCTAGTGTGTTAATTCTCTAATATATAATCAAGAAGCATTGTCAGACTATTCCAATGATGGTAACAATAAAGCTAAAAATAACAAACATATCTTTCTAAAAGTATGTTTCAGTAGCAATTAAACTATTCTACTGCTTTCAGTTGTGAAAATTATCTGAGCCTACGATGTATAACTAAAACATCTTTCTAATGTTCTACAAGTATGTCCCAGTAGCAACAGTTAGATCATCATACTGCTTTCAGTTGTGAAAATTATCTGAGCCTATGATGTATAACTAAGACATCTTTCTAATGTTCTACAAGTATGTCCCAGTAGCAACAGTTAGATCATCATAACCCATTTTCCATGAAGTGCTCAAAACTAATCACAGCACTTTAATATTCTTAATGTTACTGCTTTTTCCCTCTAAAATATGTATTTTTCAATCATGATGAATTACCAGTTTTTATGGCCATGAAGAAAACATTTTTACAGGACAAGCATTTTAGAGATATCTTAAGATGCTTCAGATTTATTATTATTATTTTTTTTATAAAGTAGGTTAGTTACTATTTATTTTAAACAAGAAGGTGATATAATCATTTAACCTTTTCTCTGCTGTTTCAATGTTCCAGTTACTGTTTTTTTCCCACTAGATTTTCCTCCTAGAGATAGTTTTGCAGCTCTGTCATTGGGTGTGTATTTGCCACTTCCAATAGAAGCTCTTGTGCCTGGAGAGAGAGATAACTCGCTTCCTGCCACAGAATAATTAGGGGTTAGTGTAAATGCCACTGAAGAAACCAGGCTTGATGCTGATGAGTAAATACAAGGACTGTTAAGAACATTAGAAATTAACGATGAAGTACACGGCCTGGGCTGATCAGGTACTGGCTGAGATGTGCCTGAAATATATAAAGCTTCTTAAAATCTTCTTACTAGTGTCTATCTTATACAAAAAAAACCAGTCAAAACAAGATAAATAATTGTATAATCTTAAAACTTTCTAGAACTTTAAGGTACAAAAATACCAATTGTATTCAATGATTTCTTAATTTTATTTTTGCATAACTTAAACAACAAATTCTATTAATATCAGTTTCAGTACTTTCACACTTGTATAAAAAAAATAAAAATAAAATTAACATTTTTATTAAAACTAAAAATTAGTCAAAAATATACAGACATTTGCACATTAGGAACCTACCATTTGTCGTTGCATTCACTTCTTTTCCTACAGCTGATTGGTTTCGGGATAATTCTATAGCAAGTCTCTGAAATAGTTTAACTCATGATAATGGTTCTGTTTGAACAACCATTTTTATAAAACACTATCAGAGAACACAGCACAAATAAATAACAATTCAGTGGTGGCTACATATATATATCTACAACTAAATATACAAATACATGGACACTTACATGGATTCAATACATTTTTAACTGAGTGTATTACACTAACAAATGACTTATTTTTCAAGTATTTGTAAGCACCGACATATTCATCTATTTATGGTTAGTTTCTTTGGTAATAATAATTATAATTTTTATGATAGTTATGAACGTTTTAAACTAACTCTAATACTATGGAAGATTTATATTTAAATTATATTAAGACTCGCAGCCACGAAAAAGTAGGGTATTTTACTAAAAATTTGGTCGAAAAATAATTATGACACATATAATAAAAAAGTGCAATAGTAATTATTAGTAAACAGTTTAGCTGATTTCAACACAACTTTCAGATTTTCAATCGGATACCAGGAAGCATGGAAACAGTAGTAACTGGCAGAGTATGTGATCAACACAAAATACGAAAAAAAGAACATGCTTTATTTGCCATGTTTGTCGTCTTTGTGATCCGTTACCCTCATGCACTGCACCTACGATACATATTAACTACAATATAAAGCATACAAGTAGTCAGTTGTCAAATCAAAAATAATAAAAAAGGCACGGCCATATCAGGGCTGAGTTATTTGCAGCACAGAGTCTTAATATTACAGATTATAATGTTCACAACAATATTAATTTTTTTTTATTTTAACACTAATAAACATTTCTCTTTAGTAAGTTACATTAATGTTCTTAGTTGTAACATGTACAACAATATTTGAATATTTTCTAAATTGTGAAAATTTCTCTTTTCCTTTAATTGAAAGCTTTTGGCCAACTTTCCAGAGATTTCACTAATCAACAATATACTAAGTAATGCAGATTCATTACTTGCGAAACACTTTAAAAACAGATGTCTAAACAATAATCAGAACACCCATCTTTAAAAAAAGTGTTCCACAGAGATATGAATTTGTATTATTCAATACACTGTTACCCGATGAAAACTTTGGTAAGAGGGCCAAAAGCTTTTAGTTATAGGAAAAAAATTTTATACAGAAAACAGTGTGTGAATGTTTTTTTTTTATTAATGTACCTACATTAGGAGTTTTAAAAAATAGGACTTCTCTGAAGTAAGTTACATTGATATTACTGGTTATAATGTTTACAACAATACTGAATATTTTAATTTTTATGTATTTGAAAATTGTTTTGCATTGTTGGCTAAGAATATAAACTTGGAACTAAAATAAGTCTCCTAAACTGGCTGAGCCTTGTGAGATATTAGGGTTAAGGCCAGAATACATTTAACAATGAGGTTACCAACTGACGATTCAATCCACTTTAATCATTATACATTTAATTTTCTTGTGAATCAATTAATGATAGTAAATAGTTGTACTTAATTAGATTAATTATATACAAGGCTGGTTTCATTAATGTAAAATCACTTTGTTTAGATCTAGTTAGCTTATATTTTATCATTAAAGCAAGTATGTATTTCTCACAGACTATTAAGTGATGTTAATGTTTTCCAGATATGAAGTTTTACTTTAGATTTGTGGTTAACTGGTTACATTGAATGTTTATGTAACTTCGTTAAATTTATTAATGTTCGTCCGTTTGTAAGGTTACCTGTGCATTGATGAGCATCTACAATCAGTGTTGTGTAACAGAATTCTTTCACAATAACTGAATTCATTTAAAACACTTTAAAATTTAGTGATGAACATACGTCATGAATATGCTGAAATAATTTTAATCAAAATGTTTTTTGTGAGGAAATAAACATTTCAGATTTGTCATTTGGTTACTGTAACAAGTGACTTTCTTAAGGATATTAAAGACACTTAAAGCACAGTATAAAGAAATATTTATACTTTGCTCAATGGAAAATTATCGTTTAATTGTATAGCTATTATTAATAAAGTTCTAATGTAGACAAGTATTTATTACTTTCTTATAAAGTACATTAATTGTATATTAACACTGTTTCACATAAGGATTATGTAATATAAGACGGACAAAAATTGAATTTTATAATTAACTGTATCTTTAATATACACTTAACAATATCTTCATATTTGAACATTTTGACAAGAGATTTGTTGCCTCGTAGTACCATTATTGTTCACTTGTGCTAACAAGTATGTCATTTTTCACACTTTGATAGTATTTCTTTAAGCATCGACATCTAACTATGACCTCATGGACTCCTCAAGGATTATCACAGAAAAATGACTGTTTTTTCCACTTAAGTTTTCTTGTATAAAATAACAAGTTCTTAATTTTTTTTACATTTTGGTACTCTTTATTAAAAAACATATATCACTAAGTAAAAGATATAAATAAAAACAAGAAATGTATCAATTCATGTTACTTTTAGCCTTACTTGGACTCAAGAACATAGCATGCTTTACTAAGACTAACATTATGTTGGTTATTCAAATAATAACTGGTATAGCTTTCAAGTATGCTATTTAAAACACAAACAATAATTCAAGCAGTAGAACAATGTTTCAGAACTACTATCATTTATCAAGCTTAATATCTTAACTTACAAACAGGTTAAAAAACTTCATTACTTAACAAAGCACCAACTTCAGTCTACACTCAATAACATCTCTTTAGGAAATGGCACCAACGTTATAATCACATAGTTCACAATATGTATCATAGAGAAGTAAGTGGGAGTAAATGAGTAATTTGAAATGAGTAATTTGAGAGGGATGGATGTAACAAATTATTGATATATTGGAAACTAAAGGTTGAAAATTCATATTGTAACTTCTTGCCTGTCAATATCTATAGTTGGTATTTTAAATTGGTGGACATTCTGAAATCAGTCTAAGGGAAAAAATAAAATATAAAAAGGAGAATTCAGAGCAGAGAGGCACCACGTGACTCAAAGAAGTGGGGATTTAGAATTTATTTATACATTTCCTTTTCAATTAATAAACTAAACTTCTTTCAAAATTTGGATTAATTGGTGAATAAAGTTGTTTAAATTTTGAATGTAGCTCTGCAAAATGTCATAACATTTGCATTGAACAAATTTCATCACAATTTTAAAATCCAGTTATAGGCACTTCAAACATCAAATACTACTTAGTCATTTGTGATACATCAAGTCTACTAAAAAACTAATTTCAAAAATTGAAATTTATACAAGTATTACATTTCAAATGAAAAATCAAATCTTTGGAGCAAACCATAAATACAGACTAAGATCTTACTTAACTACTTAGTTCTACAAAACACATTAGTTAACTATGTTAATTTATTATCTTTATAAACTGTACATTTATTAAGAAAAGAAACTAAAAATACAAATATAATATTGGAAATTAATTAATGCAGTAACTCACTTCTTTCAGGTCATTAATCTGGGTTGCAAAGTGAGTCTGTGTAGCTTGTAGCTGGTTGATAAACCACTGTTGGTCTCTACACTTCTGATAAAATGTTGGTGGTCGAACTCGAAATCTTAGAACCAAAGAATCTGTCTGTGTGTTTAAATAACCTTCAGTGGCCAAGAGGTCTAGTCGAAAGAACCGGTTATAACCCCAGCATTCTCCAACTTCAAAATCAGAAGCAAATTCTCGAACAATGTTTTTGGTTGCATCTCGAGAAGCTAGATGAATCATCTCCACTCGGTATTCATACCTATTAAAGTAGTCTCAGTAAAACACTATAATAACAAATTATGACTAATAACTGTATTCAATGTCTAATGAGTAACACAGATACTGATAAACATCTCTACTACCTTCCTGACATTGGCCTTACATTAAACCAGATTTTGGTAGTTTGAAATATGCTAAAAAAAAAGTTATTAAGAAATTACATATATATGTCAGAATGCTAGTGCATTAGAAAGGTATGTTAAATTTATAATAAGAAATAGACCAACTTGTTAAATAATACTATCTCACAATGGCTGGTATTCTAAAGTATTAAGTCCTTATGTCAAAAGTGGATGATCTCAATAACCCTGAATAACCACTTAAGTCTTTATGTCAGAAGTGGTATCACTATGTCCATATGTCAGAAGTGGATGATCTCAATAACCCTGAATAACCACTTAAGTCTTTATGTCAGAAGTGGTATCACTATGTCCATATGTCAGAAGTGGATGATCACACTAACACTGAACAATTACTTTATTAATTAAGTCCTTATGTCAGAAGTGGATGATCACACTAACCCTGAACAACTACTTTATTAATTAAGTCCTTATGTCAGAAGTGGATGATCACACTAACCTGAACCAACTACTTTATTTCATTATGTCAGAAAGATTATTCTATCTACTTTCTGGGTTATACAATAGTTCTACTGAAGTTTTCTTACTTTGATGTTTCAGGAAGTCCAGCTGACAATTCCAAAAACACTGACAAGTAATGTCCCCGTACTACTCCATTACCATCCTGAAAATAAAATGGTATATTTCACAAAGATGTTCCCAACTGAATGTGTTAAAAACTAATAGGTTTTACTAGACAAGAAAATTTTGATTCTAAGACATATCTTCAAAGGAAATATCAGAGTGAAAAAATATAGTTACATAAATTGATATAATAACATAAAACTAAACTTAATATTATAATGTCAACTCGTATTATAAGATTAGTACGTGAACCTTATTATAAGAAATTAAATATTAAGTTTAATAATCAAATAAACTGTTTAAAATTGTTAAAATTCCTTATACTAAGAACAATATTCTTAATTTCTTACTAATAATGAGACCCATGTAACTGAACCAGATTTGCTTGATAGTATTTACACAAAATAAAAGGAAAGTTCTGAACAACTTACAGGGTAAACTTTTAATCTCCAGGTTAAGCCACAAATGTTCAATGCTGGGCTATACACAGGGTCTGCCCTCTGCTGAAGAATGCTAAAATTGTGCATCACAAAGGTGTTGCTTTCATAGCAAGGAACTATTTCACTATGATAGAAGAAAGAGACAATTAGAAAAATCTTCCTAATTAGTCTTTTTTTTTCATCACATTCCTAAAGTTTGAATTTGCATAAATCAACAAAATTGTAGCAATATATTTGAGTTTTACAAAACCAAATATTTGAATTAACAAGACAAGTATTTCAAATTTTCATATATAATTTTTTTTAATCTAATATCATTATATATAAAAAGAAAAAACTTGAGAACCATTTCAAAATTTCATAGTCTACATCATAAAATAGTTATAATTTTCCTACACTGAAAATGTATTTCCGATAGGTACTTACCCCCCTCTCACAAGATTAGCTATTCTCATTCAGTGCTGCCCTCTATATGTGAACTCTTCTTTACACATGCCACATGCCTTCTGCTTCCCCCTATTGGAATTGCTATATTCCAACATGTCTCTCATGCAAATCAACATGTGTCACCTCCTAACCAATGCAAGCATGATATGCTCACATGACATATGTAACTCCCTCTACCCTCCTCTACTGAACTATCACTTCGAAGTTTGGCAGAAGATGTCAGCACTGGAGAAAAATGGGGAGGAAGGATGGGAAGTGTGAGAAGAGAAGTACCTATTGGAAATACATTTTTCAGTATAGGAAAATTATAATTTCCAATATGGTCATTACCACTTCTCACAGGATTAGCTAGAATCCCACATTGAGAATGAGGAGGAGGGATCGGTGCGAGAGAAAGACAGAAATCCCCAAAAGCATCCAAAGGATATCCCTGAAAATGAGAAATACAGATACAAAAATCAGAAGAGGGGAACTGCACCACTTCTGAGCCAGGTATACCCTTCACCATGTGTAGAATGTGTAAGATATTAGGATGGAAAATGAGAGGAGCACATCCAAGTCCGAGAGAATGTGGTAAAAGTGTTCCTAACCCGAGAAACATATTGTAACTCAATCCCACGAGATAAAAGTGGGTAAACGAGTATGCGCCCAGTGGCTAGGACATGGCAGACCTTACTCGGTAAGTCAATTGCATACAAAATCTCCTTGCAGGGTACTGACATCTGCACGAGGATAGGATGAAGATCATACCACCTTCACCTCAAACCCAAGAACTGGGGATTAAGATCCACAGAGATTCTTGGGTATTACACAAGGATTACCTCTAAGCAATTGATCTGGGAAATTGACATCCAGTATCAAAAGGATGTCTACTGGGTGGAATCAACTCCCCCAACCACAGTACTGGCAGGGACCATCCAATGTCAATAACATCCCTGTAAGAAGAGGGATAGTCAAGAACAGAACTGTAGCAATCCCAAATACTACCGCTGAGACCCACAATACAGATGGAGGAAATTCAGGGAAGAAGATAGACAACCCAAATCTGTGCAGAATTATGGTGATTGGTTCACTCTAATCAAAAACCTCCTCACGGGGTACTGACATCCATGTGAGGGTAGGATGAGGGCTCCCAATCAAAGGGGTGAACTGCATTCTGACATCTCTCTCGGTTGTACTGGTTATTGCAAATAGGAGGATATTACATCATCAATACCTACAGAATACCACTGCCCTACTCTGTAACTGAATGGAAATTGTGTGGAACTCATTCAGCAGGATGCCTCCATGGTCAACCACCCCAGTGGCTTGGAACTGAACAGAGGCAAGATCTCTCATACTCCACTTGAAGAAAGAGAGTGACAATGGAATGGAAAGTATGGAGGAATGTCATCACTAGAGACAGTGCAATGGGTGACCACTAAACCTTATTTTGAAAAGCAGGTCATACCAAGTTATTCACTCTGAGCATGGCAGGGATGGGCAGCAATCCCTTTCTGCTTTATCCATGCATCCATGGGTGGTACAGTCTGGGACAATCATGTTCACGAAGTAAAATATTGAAAGGTTATTCACTGTCAAGAGATCTTGTGGATCATCCCATCTCCACGGCGAGCGTGTGAAGCCACGGAAGTTAAAGCATGAGTCAACATGGCTGTACAGTGCAAGTTTAGAGTTAAAGAATACCTGGTCAGGCAACCCTTGCCACTGAGCAGAATCCATGTGATAAAAAGTGGATAAAGGCCTCTGAAAGAAAGTATGAAGAAACAGTTTTTTGTTAGAATTGCACCAAAGACTTAAAAGCAGCCACAGGTGGTAATGGAATCCCAATGAAGAGGAAACATCGATATGATGGAGATAGTGGGGGATGAAAGTACTGGGAGTGGTCCACATGATAAATTGCAGAATCTCCTCCATTGGACGATGAAACGAGAAGCAAGGGAAAAAGTGAGGTGTTGGATCTGATGTGAGGACACTTAGAACAAAGTCCAAGAGGAAGAAGGTAGGGAAAATTAAGCCAATCAACCAAAAAGAGCAGACCCAATTGGTAAGGGCAGAAGTGAAAGATCACAAGGGGGGGGGAGGATTGCCAGGGGATAAAGAGTCAGGAACATGTATCATGGAAGGTAGCAGTACAAAGAGACCTGACCAGATACAGAAGCCTATCCGGATCCGGTCGAGAGTAAAGATGGGAAATGGAGAAAATGAGGAACCACCCTCCAAACTGCCAAGGTGTTCGGGAAAAAGGAATGATCTGGATAAAGTAGAAGATAGGTAGGGTAATAAAGAGTATATGAAATGTCAATAGCAAACAAATCCAACCTCCAACATCCATAGGCTAAGAAAAGAAAGAAATATGAAACATGGAACATGAGGAAAGTGGTTCAAACTGAGGTAAAGTAATGGAATATAGGATCACATTAAAACTTTCAGCATGAGCTCGGTCTCTGGGACCAACATCGTAGCCATTTTGTGCTTGTTATAGTTTTTATAATATAAAGTTTAAATTAGTAATTGAATGTTAACAAAATTTGGCAGATTATCAGTAAACCATTACAATGCTTTCATATGCAAAATATCAATTTTTTTTATTAAGTCTGATGGTTTTTAAAGAAATGTTTTTCTCATGTGTTTTTTTTCTTTTTTGCATGTTGCCTATCTATCATGCACAGTAATATTCATTTTAAAATTAAAAATACTTTTATGCATCAGAAAATTTTGAAATTTCACAGGCGAAATCTTTGTAATGTCCAGATAGTTATCAAATGTTAATAAAAAAACTTTATATTTTATTTTCAGTAATTAATCTCTGTATGGGTTCGGTAGATTTGACCGATCTTGCAATCACAATAAAAATTAAATAAATAAATATAAGTTATGCCTCTTTCATTCTGGAATGAACACAAATTTTAACACCAAAACAAAAATGTTTAAAATAAATAGCTTAAATCTCATAACATTATACATTTATATATATATTTATTATTTTTATTATATTGATGTGACTGACTAACATTACAGAAGTTAAAGTGATACGGCTCACGTGCACTCATGTTACCGTATCAAATAACATAAAACTGACCTTTGGTCTGAACAAAGTAACTTGTCTTGGCTTTGTTTTGGTAGACTATTA